AACTGTCTTCATAATCAGTCAACATACCTCTGGACACACCTTGTCTCTTCCTGTATATACCTACTTTTAATGATGTTTAAAATTATCTATTTGTGATATAGGTTGTAGTTTTAGTAGTATATGATAACAATAAACAAGTGTTTTACCACATTTGGATGTCATTATTTCAGACATAAGACATAAATGTAGTTGCTTGATTGTTTATGCTGCAAGTGTAAAGAAAAGGCATTTATCATTTTCAATGTTTTATTTAAAAAAGAATAAAAATATTATCCGGAACAGGGAAAAATCTTTGTATTTTCTCTACCCTCCTGGGCATAAAAAGAAAACAATGTACAGGTATTCATCCACACAGTGGAGGGAATTATTTGTATAGCAGTTAGTGACATTACATCTTACACCCTGCTAGGATTAAACCTCTGTACTTTCCTGGTGGATCAGGATAACAGTTGCATATCTTCCAGAAACTCCAACTCAGTATCACGACTCTGTGAGCCCGTCCGAATGCTCCACACTGCCACACTACAAACTGTCTGTATGCTGCCTGACTTAACTGTCTATTATTCTGTCCTGGGTCTGGAAGATCAGCCATGTGTGGTGCATGGAAATACTGTAGTCTGGATGTTGTCCACAGTCCTCAGATTCTGGCCTGTAAAGGAATATATAGTTGTAACATTTATCAACATTATTAGATATTTTTATTGAACAGGGGTTTGTTGTTCTCTAACAGGACTTCTGTGTTCACATTACACACCAGGTCAATGTACATGACACAGATGAGCCGATGGCTGAAGCAGAGCTGTAGTTAGTTGTTGCAATCGCGGCTGTGGCTCAGGAGGTAGAGCGGGTTAGCCGTTAATCGGAAGGTCGGCGGTTCAATCCTGGCTCCCCCTTGTTGCAAGTCGAAGTGTCCTTGGGCAAGATACTGAACCCCTAATTGCCCCTGGTGGCTATTCCGCCAGTGTATGAGTGAGGGTGAATGTTAGTTTCCGTTTGAGCACTTAGGCTCAGTGTATGAATGTGTGTGACTGGTGAATGCAGATGTAGTGTAAAAGCGCTTTGAGTGGTCGAAAAGACTAGAAAGGCGCTATACAAGTACGGAGCATTTACATTTAATCAGTAAACAATAATAAAAAAGTAATAACAATATTTATATAGCACTTTATTTTTGACACCCAAAGGGCTTAGGGGGAAACACCAGAGAAACTTTGAGACAAGTACACTGGGAGATAATAGACTAATATTATAATATATATGTATATATATACCTGTTCATATGCCGTTGCTGGAGTGTGAAGCTCGATGCAGCTCCTAGAATATGTGCTGCTTAGCTTGCACCTCGTCTTCTCCGTCCTGCTTCTTCTTCCTCAGACCCCGGCAGATCTTCCTTCCAAAGCGCGTTCACTTGTTTTGGTGGCGTGGCTTTGGAAGGAGCCCAGAAGGGAGGGGGTGGGAGTTTCTCTGTTGGATACTTTCAAAATCCAGCAGTTTCTTGCTAGTTTCTCAAACTTACCTACCCTACCTTTAAGGAGCTAGGGGCTCAAAGCCAACATCCCCAGATAATACCCATTACTATGTGAAAATAGAATTATCATGTGATCATACAGGTTAGGCAAGAAATTGATAGCCTTTTCATTATTTCTAAAATCTGCTTTTGTTTATAACCAGAGACATGAAAAATCTTGTTAAATGACTGAGTGCAACTAAGCCTACTATATTTGAATATTTGAGGGTGAAGACAACATGCTGACCTTACCAACAGTGAGCCTAAACATGTTGGGTTTGTCCTGTAGGTTGCACATGAGATAAGGCCATGGGGTTCATCCATGTGCTCAGCAAACTTTCATGTTTATCTTTGGTGCGGTGTTGATATTTTCATCTCATTGATGCAAGAGGAAAGCTCAAGCAGTGTTCAAGGGTTTATCTTCTGTGCTCTGTCAAATTCAGAGCAATGTGTGCATAAGACTTTGATATTTCTTGGGCAAGTGGAAATGTCAGCCCAATGGTAGCGCTAGAAGAAAGATCAGCGGGTCATCACAACATTTGAATTCAGTCTGAGATCATGAATATCCATGTTCATGGGAACCTGCCAAGATAGTTTGTCATTCAACAAAGTGTTTAACTAGAAAAAAGGTTAGAGGGTCACCAAAATCAGTATAAATCTGTCTAAGGATTCCATGAATATTAATTACACATTTTATGGTAATCTGCCCTGAAGATAATGAGATTTTGATATGGACTAAAGAGCTAGAAAGATGGACCTACACTAGGGGGGCAACATAAGAACAAAATATTTAAGGCCCAAGAGCAATATAAGAAATCATAGCAGGAGGCAATGCATGCATCTGAGCTTTGTTGTTTCATGTTAAAAAGTGTGTCGTAACATCTGCATGAATGCCGAGAGTTTTGATCCAAACATGGATTTACGTGTCGGATTTGTTATTGCATCCATCATTAGTCATATGGACTTTTGTGAGAAAGCTCATTGTCAAGTATAGCACATGGATAAAGCACAGTGCCTGTGGCGTCATTGAAGGTCAGAGCTCTGGAAACTCTCATCACTTCCCCCCAGCGAGGTTAGAATAGACCTTGACACACACACAAACACACTTGCAAGCACCTATAGAGAACTAAACACAACTCAAAGGCCTGTTTATAGTCCCTGTTCTATCATAATGGATTATTCACAAAGCAAGCCCGACCTTCCACAATACTGTACTTGAACGAAATTGCCTGGACTTGTGATTTTCTGGATTTTCGTCAAAGAAAGCATAATCATTACACAACAAGAAATGCCTGCAATAATTATTTTATCTATTGATGACAGACATCAGAATGAGCACTGATTATTCTTCTGCAGTAATCTGGTGCGACTGTGACAGGAACTAAATTCTGATTTGTGGCAGCCAAAGGCAAAGTCAGTTGAAAGATGACATGGACAGTTATTAAATGAAAAATGCTCCATCTACAGCACAAGCCAGATTTTGGAGAGTTGTGTGGTGTCAGACCTGGTGTACTTAACTTGGTGTCCAAGTCCTGTAAAACATTTATTCACAGAATAAATCTGGGGATGCAGTCTTTCCACTGACTGTTTAGTTCTCAAGTGCATCCCCAATCCAAATGGTTATCAGGGCCCTCACTTTAAAACAGCTTATGCTTGTATAAAAACCCATAACACAACACTGAAACAGCCCTCCTCAAAGTCAGCAATGACCTCCTCCTCCTCTCTGATTCTTGCCACCTCACTGTCCTCATCATGCTTTACCTCATTGCAGCCTTTGACACCATCAACCACTCCTCTCCTGACTGGAAAACTACTCCAACATCACTGGCACTGCACTCTGTCACAAGGCGTCCCCCAAGGTTCGGTGCTTGGTCCTGCCACTCTGAAATATCATACGTAAACATGGTCTCCCCTTCCACTGCTATGCCGACGACGTCCATATCTACATGTCCACCATATCCATCACCCCAGTTACTTCTTCCACACAGACCCACTGCCTCACTGATATACAACCTGGATGCAAACCAACTTCCTCAATTTAATAAATCTGACATGATTATTATCGGTCCCAAATCTCTCACAAAAAATACCCATAACTTCAACCCTCCGTCAACAACTCCAACCTGTCTCCATCTCCACATATCTGTAACCTTAAGTCATTTTTGACAGCAACCTCCCCTTTGAACATGACATCAACCAAATCACCAGAACTACCTTCCTCACAGACTGCACTGACCTGGACACAGTCAGATTACTTATCAAAACCTACATCTTTATATTAGCCTTAACCCTCTAATAAAATTACATTTCACCTGCTGTTAGTAACTAGTTTTATTGTTTCACTTGGTTTCATGTATTTTATCAGTTCTATTTGTGTCATCTATTTTTAATGTACTTAATATGCTGGTTTTATTGTAGTGTCTTTGAGCATTGAAAATCTCTATAGAAATAAAAAGTATTATTATTATTTTTATTATTATTATTATTTATTTCTATACATATTCATAGTGAAAGTTATTTAGTGTGACTGCATCATGTTGACTCATGGCTGAGGCACAAACTGGACCCCACAGTGGCTGATCTGTTCCGTGCATGTTTCATCTGTCACTGATAGCATTTCGGTTCCAATGGAGAGCTCTATGTTTGTTTAGCTAATACATCCATAACACAGACCATTCTGTCTCCAAATTTGATTAGTATTTCCAATACATGAACAGTAACACTAGAATGAATAGCACAGTCTTTGCATATACTTTGAAAACTTACATAAATGCAAATTTTTTTCTGAACCGCCTTTTCTTTCTATTTTAATGTACTACAGCCTGAGAGCTTGTTCGTGTGCTGCAGGGTACAGTTGGTTGCAGAGTCATACAAGAAATACAAGGGAATTTTCTGTTTAACCATTATCAATGTAGCATTGCATAAACACAAATGTCTTTTATTTTATGCATCTGCAAGGACTCAAACATTAAATTTTTAGTCAGGACAAGTGTAGCTGTAATAGTCAAACCTCAATAAATCATAGATTATACAATGAAGTTGGTTTAACTTGCCAGTTGGATGACTTGTGCTGCCAACTTTCTCCTCACTTTACAAAGAGTCAAAGAAAGTTTCACCTGTTTTCAATATGTTCCAGACTAACAGGCAAGAGCTCTAATACCCCCTCAGTGCTTGGACTGCACAACTGAACCAAATGTTTTATCTCATCTCTTAACAAAATGCCTGCATTCTAAAATTAGCGAATATATATGTAGGACTGTTAAGCTATTTTATGCATATTTTTAAGATATAAAGCAAGAGCTAAAAGTCAGAAAAAGTCTTTGCTTGTGTTTGCTGCTTTTGTCTCATGCAGCCGCTGCTGCGGGGACAATGTGTTCAAACTCTCAGTAGCTCTTAGCACCCTCCGCAGGCTGGCTGTCTGATTGGCTGAGCACTGACCATGATGTCATCACTGCACGTTATAAGGGCTCTGACAAATAGCCTGGGAGTCACATTAGAAGAAACACTGCACAACCGAGGGACCGAGTGAGTGAGACACATGGAGATTAAGAAAAACAGTAGAAAGAAGGACATGTGACAGTGAATACTGGAACTACCTGAACAGTGACATTTTTACTTTGTATGGGAGGCAGGAGACAAGACATCTACTTGTGGAGGTTTGTTTTTTTTAAACTTTTGGCTTGTTTAGCATGTTTTTAAGCTGTGTTTGCTGAAGCCTAACAGGATGTGATAAGTGTGTTTTGTGGAGTTGGTTCTGTACTTTCTGTTCTTTTTTTTTGTGAAAATAAAGCACACATCAGTGCATTTTTGTTAGTGCTAGTTTTATTGACATATTATATGCAGATTTTTTTAACAGCGTTAGTTTCTTGTTTTCTGTTGTTAACATGCCACTTTTAGATTAAAATTGTGATATTGTGTGTGTGTGTGTGTGTGTGTGTGTGTGTGTGTGTGTGTGTGTGTGTGTGTGTGTGTGTGTGTGTGTGTGTGTGTGCTTTTGTGTGTGTTATCCACATATGGTCTCTTCAGATGGGAAGCACGACCCCCACAGGGTACCTCAATGTGAGTACAGCGACGACCAACATGTCAGCAGTCCCACCTGAGAATGAAGAGAGTTACAGTGAGGCAACAATGATCCTGCTGGGCATGATTATGTCCTTACTCGTCTTGTGTATTGTCTTTGGCAACATCCTAGTAATAACAGCGATTGGCCGCTTCCAGCGTCTCCAAAATGTCACCAACTGTTTCATCACATCCCTTGCCTGTGCTGACCTGGTCATGGGTCTCATTGTGGTTCCTTTTGGTGCCTGTTACATTATCTTTAAGACCTGGCACTTTGGTAGTTTTTGGTGTGAGTTCTGGACTGCCACTGATGTGCTCTGTGTGACTGCAAGCATTGAGACCCTGTGTGTCATAGCTATAGACCGTTATTTGGCCATCACTTCTCCCTTCCGCTACCAGTCGATGCTGACCAAGGGCAAAGCTCGTATTGTGGTTGTTCTGGTGTGGGTGATTGCCGCCTTGATATCTTTCCTGCCCATCCACATGAAGTGGTGGATATCAGATGATAAGGAAGCTAAGAAGTGCATTGAGGACAGTAACTGCTGCGAGTTCAACACCAACATGGCTTACGCCATCACCTCCTCTATCATCTCCTTCTACATCCCTCTGGTCATAATGGTTTTTGTCTACAGTCGCGTTTTCCAGGAGGCCAAGCAGCAACTGAAGAAGATTGACCAAAGTGTTGGACGTTTTCATAACAGCAACAACATCAACCTCAAATCTCTGGAGGCCAACAACGGGCGAGGCAACAAGAAGGCCAAGTTTTGCCTGCGGGAACACAAAGCCCTAAAGACACTGGGCATCATCATGGGGATCTTCACTCTGTGCTGGCTGCCCTTCTTTCTGCTCAACGTGGTGGTGGCCATATGGAAGGTGGATAACATCGACCTCACCTTCAGGATACTCAACTGGATAGGTTATGCGAACTCTGCCTTCAACCCGCTCATTTACTGCCGCAGCCCTGAGTTCAGGTATGCCTTCAAGGAACTCCTCTGCATGAAGATGAACCACCTCAGGAACCCTGCACCCGTGAATGGATACACCTACAGCAGGCATAGCTGGCAGAGCGAACAGCAAGGGAGGAGTAAGGGCAGCTCAGAAGACAGTGATGCCAATGAAGGGTGTGTGGGGAAGGGAGCGAGGGTTTGCAGTGTGGACAGAGCAGTAGACCCCAACGGGAATTGCAACAAAGGCCTAATGACTGTAACAACTGTCCTTTAAACTGGGATCCCTGAGATTTGCATCAACACGGCGATCCAAACATGTTTACACTGCTATCACTATCTTTTTCCAACTGACTGATGAAGGTAAGGCCAGCCAAATTGACTGGTAGTCTCTGGAGACTGCTTTAAAGTAATCATTAATCATGTTCTGCTGAGGAAAGAATTTCTCTTCCTCAAAACAATAAATAGATCACTTGTCCTTTTGTTACATTTAGCATTTTTAATTTCAATCTACCTCGTCATATCTTTTTCAATATTTCTGTCTTAACTGACTATTAAAACAATTTCACATAAACTTACTGTCCACAGGAGTTACACCAGAGCAGGATCTCAGCTGTTTATTTACTCTACTAAATGGTCTGTGTATTGTATAATTGCTAATTATCTGGCTCCAGTTGAACTTGTGAGCATGTTTCACTGATCAGTGATCTCACAATTTACCAGCATAAAAAGTTTTTGAAATTCAAAGTAAATATGCTGGAGGCTGTAAATTGCATTCAGGCATGCCAATTCAGCATGAATAGTGAGTTCTTATATCCATTAGAAAATGGACAAGAAGTATGGAAGGATCTAATTTAATCCCTCTTTGGTGTTTTGTTTGAAGAAATACATTCCGCATCAAGCAAAATTTGAAATTTTGGCTTCATTTTTCATTTCTCTTTCAGTCTTTTTTTATGGATTGTCTCAGTATGATAGATGATCAACAACAGGTGTGGCAGGATCTCTCTCTCTCTCTCTCTCTCTCTCTCTCTCTCTCCTCATTGCTCAGCAATGTTGTGAGGCTCTGATCCCTGCTCTAGTGTTTTACAGCCTTTTGCATGGAGTTTCTGTTGCCAGCAGATAGCACCAGAGACATGAAGTTATCTTCATCTCACTAGCTCAAGCTTAGAAACGCCTAGGGCCATCCTCTCTTAGTCATATGATAAATGATTGCTAGTTTGTATACACCATGATTCCGTTATCAGCCCTAAAGGTATCTCATATCTTTCAGTGCAAAGCACATGGCATTATGGTTAATGTGGTTAATCCTGTGTATTGACCTTTAAAGCTTGCAGCTGTTATATGCATACAATCAAATGCACTTGTTTTGCTACTGCACAGCCTACCAGACATGTCTTGCATTCAGGCCACAGTAGCAACAATAACAGTTGTCCCTTTTGTTGCACAAGCCCTGTTTGTTTATTACATTTTGTGGTTGCTGTGTTTCAGCATGTACAGGGTTTACTGAAACTGAAGCCGTTTCCTTAGGCATGGCACAAGGGTACAAACCACACAATAATAAACAGTGCAGTCAAAATAGCCAAGTGATAACGAAGTTCCAGGCCTGAGACGTAGTGGCAGGGACTACTCGGGCAGATAAACGGAGATGAGAAAAACTCCTGCACTCCAGCACTCCTGAGCAGTGCACCTTGGTCACTGCTCCCTGACAATTCCCAGAGTCTCCTCACTGTAAACGGATGTCTAGATCTTTATGAAATCAGTCTAATATTTGGATAAGACACTCACGCAGTTGTTTCCGTCAGTATCCTTTAGACGCTGCTTGGTTTGCATTCTCCAGGAAATGCCCCAATCCAGCTGACCCAGCCCAATAAACATGAGTAAATCCATTATCTCTGCCATTTAGCTGGGGAATCAAATAATTTCCTCTTAAAAACAACGCTGAAATAGCTTAGTAGATTACAAAGTTCCCAATTTGCAGGTTGTGATGGGATCCAAAGGGCCAACCTGAAATGAGACTCTCTTTCTAATCACAGGCTCCTGAAAATGTCCCTTTTTGACTTACGCAAGCACTAATGGAAAAGACGCACTTAGCAAGCAAGGCTTGAATTGGAGATTTCACCCGCTTTTCCCACACTAAATGGCTGGCGAGACCACTGCTCTCAAGAGGAGAAATTGAGCTGTTGATGCAGATGTAACCCCCTTTCTGCAGTCAGTTTGGCTATCTCTAGTATGTTCTGATCAAAGTGACAGCATGCTAAATGTGGCTACTGAAGGCAGTGGAGGGGGGAGGGGGGCTGTTGCAGGGATTCTCTGCCAGTCTAAATCGGTGTTAGTGACCTGTGTTTTAGTGCATGTAGCGTTGCCTCTGGAGTAAGGTCAGCTGACACTGTCTAAACTGTGAACTTTGTTCCCTCAGAGGAATCTCTGTGTACTGTATCGCTAGGTTTGGTCAGCACTGTTGTCATAGACCATAGGGACAGACGTAAACACGGTGTCATCATACGTCAATATTTGCCATGTGAAAAACAAGCTTTCCAGTATGTGTTTTTTTTTTTCTGTTTTTCCTTTTCATGGATTTACAGCAAAGTAAATGCAGGGGTTGAATGTCATAAAAAATGTTCTCCAGATTTTTTGCCCCAACTTTTTCACTGTACAGCATGTGCAAAGCACAAACCAGATATAGATTCTAGACCAAGATTTTGATATATGACTATAATATTTAATAAATAACATTTAATTCATGCATTGATGCTAAATGAATGAGTCCCTGCTGGACTGAACAAGATCTGTATTTAAAGCATCTGTAATTTTTAGAAGCACTTCACAAATGAACATTTGCATATCTGCTATGTATGATGATGTGTGGTGATGTGTTTGTGGACAGTGGTGCCATTTCCTTTCTAAGTGTTGTGAACTATATATCCACACTGCTCCCTCCTGGCAGTGACCTCTCCTTGCACCTCAGCTGTCTCAGAGATATTAATGGTTACTGTTTCATCAATACGCCTGTATAAGTAGGAATCTAATTCATGTCTTCACCTCCTCAAACAGTTATGTGCAATGAGTCTTGAATGATTAGCTGACACTACAAACATTCCAAGTACAGCTGATGGTTTGGAACCATAAACCAAGTCTACTGATGCAGAGAATGAACTTTCAGTTCTCCCCCAGACGTTTGGTTAACCGTACTATTCACTGGTATGGTTATACCAACTCTGCTAACATAAAAGTCTATTTAAAGGTCTTATAGGATGTGTTACAATGTGGCACATACTGTATATTTTCAATTCAAAAGAATATAATGTCATGGACTGACTCAGGGGGCCAATGTTAAAGCTGTCATTACTGATCCATTATTGTCCCTATTTATACAAGTAATTTTGCCGCACACAAGCAGCTCCCATGATTTAGATTAGGTTGGTCACTTACATAGAGGGATAATTCAGGATTTTTGAAGTGGGGCTGTATGAGGTATTCATCAGTAGTCAGTGTACTACGTGCAGTAGATTGAGGTTGACGTGTCCCCAGTTTGAAGATCAGAGAGTGTTACCGGTACTGAAGCTAAGCAATGTACTGCAGTTGACAGGGTCAGCTGCAAAATGTGTTTGAGCCACCTAAAATAGGGCCCACAGAAAATAAAAATCAGGTTTAGTGTACGCTATGTGTTTAATATTTTCCGCACTTTACCTTGCCTTCGGACAGCCATTTCCTTTGAAATTACATTATCTCAGCCGTAGAACTGACATCAGCTGTTTTGGTCAGAAAGTATTGTTGCACAATCAGTCTGTTTTGCTGCTGACCCTGTCTACAGCAATACATTGCCTAGCTTTCTTGCCAGTACACTCTCTTTTCCTTTTTTCTCTTTTCTCCAAACTGTGGACATGCTGACCTCATCTATTACAGGTATTACACTGACTGTGGATAAGTACCTCATACAGCCCCACTTCGAAAACCCAAACTATCCCTTTAAAGCAGCACTGTATAGCACTTTCAAGAAACATGCGTAGAATTTTAAATCAACGTTTGAGTTCATGAACTATATAAGTGGAGAGTTATGCCTGTTCACTTGTACCTTAATATTTTGTTGTGAAAGTTCTCGTTCCTGTTTGCGACTAAAAATGCAAAGTCATGAGAAACAATTGCTTCAGAATCTCAGCACAGATGTTGTTGAAAGTGGACTATTCTTGTGAATTGATGTATGTGAATGTGAATTTTCTATTAAACTTAAATAGTGCGTTAGCCATCTTATGAAAAGTAAACCTATTACATGTGAACCCTTTTTCATGGAGTGAAAAAAGTCATCACTCAGCTGAATGTTTACTAAATGTTTGCAAGCTATTTTCGCACTACTTTTTGTCACTGTTAAGGTAATGAAGCCTGTTGCAACACGTGGTGTCCTGTGGTATTTATGAAAAAGCAAGTGTACGTGCTGTATCAACTGTATTTAAATAAATTGTGTCCATGTTGCATGTAATGTCCTCATTTATGCATCCTTTGTGATCATTCAACTAAAAGCCAGTGAGTGGAGGAAATCAAGACTTCACGCTGACAGCAGTTAAGTCTATTTATGTATGGGAAAAAACAGTCATCAGCACATGTTCCTGATGGAATGATGGACAGGAGGGAGTCTGTGATATTATAAAAATGTTTCCATTCTCCTTTTGAAACTGCATGTCTGATCAATGCTCCAAGTAATCATATATTACAGACCACCTTATTCTCTCCCAGAAATCCAAGGGAGGAGGACAGCAGAGATATATAGAGCCATTAAAATGTCTTGATATTTGGCACTAGTCAGAGTGGAAAGCATTTTCATGTTTCTTTCAAGCATAAAATATGTTTGAAGATTAAATACCCTAAGAGTAGATATCATGGTTAGGAATGCAGAAAACCAAGACCAGAACTGCATAGGCTACAGTTAGCTATGTAAATCAGTTAATACCTTTGGATTTCATAGTGAACAAAAACATTGGATACTTTCTGTGTTTTGAAATAAGAGATAATGTGCTTTCATCAGCTGCAATGCTTTATTCTCTGCTCTTCATGTGAGTATCATCACATATCTTAAGTAATGCTTGCTGCATCTTGTTTTCATTCACGCTTTCATTCTGTCTACAATTTCCACTGTTATTAACAAGAGTGGAAAAAGAATTGTAAATTGATAATTGTTCGCTGTGAGGATTAATGACACTGCTGCAAATGTTAAGCTAACTAGCTTACTACAGACGTAACCAACCGTCACTTCCCTTTCCAAGGAAAACTTTAATGCTACAGCACATTAGTTTGTCTCAACATCCACTGTGTGGTATTTCTCCACAGTGTGGGAGCAGTTTTGGATGCAACAGAGTGAAGGCTAACCATACTCTCTGTCCTGCTCATTATTGGAGTACTGGGGTTACATTCTCCAAACACACTGGTAAAATTAGTCCTCATTTTAAAGCTTTCTCTTGTAACAAAAATAAAACATTCTGCTTGAAAATATACACAGTAAAGCATAAATTTCTGTGCTGCAAGCCAAACAGGGTCATAACAGTGAAATAAGTGTCTGATCTTACATTTTCCTTATCATACTAACTAGCTCTTTACTGCAATACTAAAACACTGATGTTTACTTCCTTCAACATGGATCCTCAACTGGTGGGGATGGTGACTTTTAACGTGGGACTTAGCTTTGCCTGTCGTTTAGTGTGATATCATGTATGTAGTCATTTAGTTCAGTTGGTTCATTGGTCCGGTTAAAGGTACATACAAATCTGTAGCTCTGCATCCTCTGATCACAACACTATCTCTCTTATCCCAACCTACAAGCCACTCCTCAACCAGAGAAGTGGAGATGTGGACTGAAAATGCTGTTGAGGAACTCAGAGGAGCCCTTAAAAGCACAGACTGGCATGTTTTTATCAACTCACCTACTGAGCTTAAAGATAAGCTCCAATTTAAGAGCAGAATAGAGGATAAGTTTCACAGTAACAACTTAAAAGCTGTATGGGATGGCATGAAAGCCATGACGTCCCAGCACAATAAAAATAATAGATCAATCACTATTGATGGTTTTGAATTAAACATAGAGCTTGCAAATGCCCTGAATGGTTTTTATTTACATTTTAATGACAAACATGATTTTACAAATGTGCAGAGTGATCTGTTTGATGTTTTGAATTAGTGTGCAGCGGCATCTCAACCTACAATCAGTGCCTATGCTGTCAGATCTATGTTTTACAAATGTAATATTAGAAAGAGCCCTGGTCATGACAGAATAACTGGTAAACTGGTAAAAAAAAAGTCAGATCAATTACGTGACATTTTTACCGATATTTTTAACATGTCACTTACCCAACATAAGGTCCCAAGACTGTGGAAGGAATTTGTAGTTGTCTCTGTGGCCAAAAACAGATATCCAAAAGAGCTTAATGACCTTAGGCCTGTAGCCCTCACATGAATAGTGATGAAGACCTTTGAGCGACCGATCAAGTAAATCCTGACTGATAAGGTTCACCCAATGCAATTTGTATATCAGGTTAATAGAGGAGTAGATGATGCTACTACTACCTAACATAATCTTAATCTATTAAACATCTTAATCTATTTAATCTGTATAGGCATCTTGAGGGGGAAAATCCCATGCAAGGCTTTTATTTGTCAATTTCTCATCAGCTTTTAAAACACACATCTTATCACTGCAAAAGATTAATTATCATAATTGAAGGCAAAATATACTTGTTTTTTGTCTGACAAGATATTTCCTCTTACCAGGCGGCTTTGATGTTAGAGAATTTCACTTGTTTCAAGTTTTTTGTCCTTAAGTAGCAAGTGAAATGTTCTTGTTCTGTTGGCAGATAATTTTGCTTATTTTAAATAATATTTCCCCCATTTATTGCTTTTTTCCCCTTGTTTCAGAGAGCTCGGTTTTTGCAGTGTAGTTAGGAAACTTCTGTCCACTTTAACCTTGATCCAGGTATAGTAAAATGGGTACTGGATTTTATAACATTTAGGACCCAGTCAGTCAGTCTATCTCAGAAGCAGATGTCATCCACAGGCTCACCCCAGGGGTGTGTCCTTTCCCCACTATTGTATCTCCTATATACAAATGACTGTAGAGTGAATGGTGCAATTACCACTTCTTGAAGATAAATGTTCTTAAAACTAAAAACATAGCCATAGACTTCAGGAAAACTCCCCACTCTACCTCTCCAACAATAATCAAGGGCTCACCTATTGAGACAATGGAGTGTTACAAGTATCTAGGAACAGTTATGACAAAAACTTGAACTTTGACCTTAACACTTCTGCTGTCTACAAGAAGGGTATTCAGAGGCTTCATTTTCTGCGCAAACTGAATACCTTTAATATGGACAAAACTTTGATGACTCTATTTTATAAATATTTTTGAATCAATTTGAACTTTTTATTGCATAGCTTGGTATGCAATCTTGGTAATCTTAATGTGTTACTAACATTGTTAAGACAGCCAGTAAAATAACTGTCACTCAATAGCTTTCCTTGGCAGACATCTATAAAAAAACAAGTTATACGTAAGGCTCGGACTATCACAGCCAGCTCTGACCACCCTCTTTTGAAGGAGTTTGTTCTTCTCCCATCTGGGTGAAGATACAGATTC